GCTCCGCCTGGTGGGCGGAGGCCATCCCTGCGCCGGCAGAGTGGAGATCCTGCGCCAGGGCTCCTGGGGCACCGTGTGTGATGACGGCTGGGACCTGCGTGATGCCCACGTGGTGTGCAGACAGCTGGGCTGTGGAGAGGCCCTCAATGCCACGGTCTCTGCTCACTTCGGGGAGGGAACAGGGCCCATCTGGCTGGAAGAGCTGGGGTGCACAGGAAACGAGTCCCATGTGTGGAAGTGCCCATCCCGGGGCTGGGAGAGCCATGACTGCAGACACAAGGAGGACGCAGGAGTCATCTGCTCAGGTCAGGGCTGCCCACTGTACAGGCCAGGTGGGGTTGAAGGGGATGGAGCTGTGAGGACTCTAAAAGGATAGAGGGAAAGTAGCTTCTACTCGAGTCCTTGATTGGTGCTTCCTTTCATCCTGTGGGAGCTGAGGTTCTCTTTCTTCCTTTTCAGTCTCCTGAGGGAGGCGTGTCTATGGCTCACTCTTCAGTTACTGAGGCTAATAAAATCTTGACACTCTCTGTACTGCTTTATACTTGTGCTTATAACAAATAATTACATTACACATTATTATATTAATATTTATTGGTTATAACATATACTTAGTGGTTTGTAACAACTTACATTTATTATCTTATATTTCTGTAGGTTAGAAGTCCAACACCATCTCAGTGGGCTAAAATCAAGGTGTGAGCAGAGTGTCATCACTTTTCAGGTTCTGCGGCAGAATCAGTTTCAAGCTTCTAGAAACTGTCTGCATTCTTTATCTCAGTTCCCTTACTTCATCATCAGGCCAGCATTGTTACAGATCTCACCATTAAAAAAAAAGAGATTTATTTATGTATGCATAAAGAACTGGGGTACAAGCTGGAGGTTCAGGGGCAGTGAGAGGATTCACCAGAGACAGAGTGGGGGGCAAAACAGGCAGACTGATGGAGTACACTGCTGAGGGGAGCAGCAGGTGGGTCAGGAGAGAGGTCTTCTGTGCCATGTGGGTCACCTCTGGTGCTGGGTATCAGGGATTGAATTCACACTGAAGCAGCTGTGGCTCGCTTGCAGTGCTGTGCTTTAACCCATTACACCACCAGGGAGGGCCCCCAGATCTCCCCATTCTTCCATAATCACCTTTCTCTATAACCAAAGCTAGAAATTGTGGTCCATGTTTAAAGACAGTGGGTCTAACAATGGCCTCATCTGGTCAGTCTTCCATGTTCCTGGTTAATCTCACCTTTCCAA